TTTAACTCTAGATTTGAACCGGGTGAAGGATTTTAGGCATCGGACGTCTAGATCTTTTAGATTTAAAATTACATATTATACATTTAAAGGCTTCATAAAATTAAATTAAAATTATTTATTAAATTATTTATTAAAATGAAAGTATTTCTGATTCTGATTCTGAAATAAAATTCAAGTAAAAAAAATACTGGTGTTGTAATGGCCATCTTCTAATACTGAGAAGGGATTGCAACTACTCTGAAGGTTTCACTTTGTATGAGATGAAGTAATCATTTATAATTTATGATTAATAATGTCTCTCATTGCTGTGTTTCATTGTTATTCAGTTCAATAGACAGGAAGCCTTTGTGCTGAGTCAGCAGGGTTGGGTAGGAACCACTGACAATATATACTGTATAGTGGACAGAGCTTCCAGGTCTTTGAAGTAAAGCCAGTGCGGAGGTGTCTTAAAGGTCCAGAGTGTAACATTTAGGAGGATCTATTGGTAGAAATGTAATATAATACACAGGTATGTTTTCATTAGTGTATAATCACCTGAAAATAAGAATCATTGTGTCTTTGTCCCCTCAGAATGAGACGTTTTTATTTACAGAGTGAGCGGGTCGTCTTCTGGCGGAGTCCGTCATGTCAAATGTTTCAAGGCTAGATGCCACTAAATCTCACGCACTGGTCCTTTATTTCAACTCTTGTGACATTATGTGGTAAAATGTGATTTAGCAGTATTTGACACCGTAGCTCATTTCAAGAATATAACCGTAAACCCTGAAACACTTTGTGTTGTCGAGGGCGGCGCCTTGTCACTGGGACCAAAGTATCAGAGGATTGTTGCAACACGGACCTTTTCTATATTTATTTTCTATTTTCTATATATATATTATTGATATATAATGTAGTATATTGTACATCATCTTACAGGAATGAAACGTAGAAACATTAGGATTACTCACGTCGCCATGGTAACAGCTTCACAGGAAGTTGAGGATGGATCTCTGGATGAAACAAAAACAAAAAGTCAGCTGTGATGTTGTTAGCAGCTTTTAATAGATTAAACAGCATAGATACCGTATGAGCAAGTACACTATTTCATATGTCTGTCCAACAACTGAGTGGGCGGGGCTTCAACTAGAAGTTGGAATAATTATTGGAAAACTATTTACAAAATTATGCTTATTTGAACTTATTTTCTCTATATATTGTTATAAACTGTAGTATAATGTACATATTTTTACATACTTATAATTTTCTATTGTCTATTATATATATATTTCATGAAATTTGTTTTGCAACTTG